AAGCTATACTTCCAGGCCATATTGCTGCGGCCCATTTCCATTTTTTCCAACACCTAAAGCCATACTTCCAGCCCATATTGATGTGGCCTATTACCAGCCTTGTAGAGAAGTCTGGTATTTATTTGTATCTCTTACGTCAAACCTTAGGATGCTCTTCGCTGCTTCGTCTTCTTTCTAGAGCTCATGTGATCCAAATGTCGACGGCTCGCTACCTTCACCGCGTTCTTCATTGCCTTTCACCTCGAATACATTTAATTGAATCAAACGAAGATGAAGAATGATGATGAGAGTGCGATTCTACTGCTAATTGATCTTTGAGACTACCAATTCCAGTATAGGTAAGTGTTGTTTACCTAGTAGTTTTTATTTCAATTTTCACCGACTTAAATGATATGTATCATCATTTTTCCCAGTTTATTTATTAAACACATAATTATCTGTTAACCCTAATTTTCCTTCACAAACGAATTGCACGAATGTTTTAATTGTTGTATAATTTTCATGTGAATTTCAAACATGAGAGCATGATTAAGCTAGTGCTATTACGATTCAATTTCATAGGCAAATAAATGAAATTTGAAATTCAAATTGTTTGGTTTCAATTTATCCAATTAACTTTTGACATTGATTTAATTTGAAACACCGGTGTTTTTCTATTATCTCTACTAACAAATGTAAAATAGTGTTTTCACGAATCTATTTTATTGGAGTAATTAGAGTTTTTTATTTATGTAAAAAAATAATTTCTACTGATGTTGAAATTCAAGCCCTTTAAATGAAATGCTTAAACACAAGTAATAGATTTTTTAAATTGTTAAATTTATGCTGAAATTTATACACGTTTAGATGAAAAATATTATAGTTTGGATAGGTGTCATGAGTGTATGGTGGTTTGGACTTTTTGAAAATAGGAAAAGTTTAGCTAGCAATCATATATAATATTGTAATGTATTATATAATTTCGTAATGTATTACGTGCCTATGTGAGTTGTGCTGAAAGTAATTTTACTTCTATACAAAAGCAGCAATGCCACTAATCCTTCTCAAAGCCGACATATTGTCAAATTATGCTAACAGATTAATCACTTTGAATATGTTTTAATTTTAATATCAAAGTATTTTTTGTTTTTATGTTCAGAAGTCAAGCCGGAAATTTTTAAATCCACTTCAAAGACTACACCTATATTCAAATAAAGAGATTCTTAGGACATAACAATGATAACACATGCAAAATATTACTCCTTTTCGTTTTCTTGAATATTGCACATACATACAATATATTTTCGTAGGAGTCTCCAGCAAGGTACCCCTTGATCTCATTATTTTTAAATAAAATTACAGCTATTGCATGAACCCAAAAACTTCCGGCCTTAAGTTTTTATTGCTATCAATTTATTTTATTAGCATTGCAATCAATGACCAGCAATATATGAAAATAAAAATATTACCTGCCGAGACTCATACAATTCATATATGGTTTTAAATGGCTGCATCAAACTCTTGATTTCTTTAGCGAAACTCAATTGTGTATTTGTTGTAGCTGAAACAGAAAATAGAACAAATACAATTTTAAAACTCTCTTGATCCGTAAAATCCAAGAACATACTATATTGAAACTGAAAATTTTATCAGTAGCTTTATCATTTAAAGCACATTCCATGCATTCGATTTCACCATTGTCATATTTATAATAGATAGTATACATACAGTCCATAGTGTCAAATCCCAAATTTTATCTTGAAGATCACGTCTTTCAAGGTTTCACCAAAATCACCACACCAAATGTTCTAGTATATTCTAAACATATTACAAAAAGCATGTAAAAACAAAAATATAATGTTCAACATTTTAATAAAACAATTACTTTGACTAATACTTATCCCTCTATACTATTTGTCACTCAGAAACTTTTGATCTCAAGTTTTGCTTCGATGTTACACTGGGCATCTTGGTTGTATCATTGTGTGTTGCGGAAGGAGGACATGGTTCTGCTATTTATAGCACAAAATTGCTTGCGAGATTTTAAAATATTTTTCAATATCGTATATACTTAGTTGCTTGGGAAGTGTAATGGAATAATTTTGGCTGCTCGATTCAATAAACCAAGCATTGAATTAGACTCTTGAACGGTTGTCAGATGCATACTTCGTATGTTTTTTTTTTGAAAACTGAAACATCATACTTGAGTACATAATTGATGTTATCTTCTTGTTTGTAATTATTGTTGTGACGTGATGGCCCTCCAATTACTGCATTTTCAGGAGAACAAATTTTCCCGTCCATTCTCTTTGATGGTTATTTACAGATAGATGTTTATTCTCAATGTTCTTATTGGGAAACTAAACCGCCTAAATCCACCACAACTCATAATTACTGCATTAATTGCTAAATTATTAGATGTACAATATATCCTTGAAACAGATTCTGCTATTCCCGCCCAACATTCCCCTACACTTTTCTGTTTTAATATATATATAGATGTGGTCCTTTAAGTGGTAAAATGTACTCTCGCCCATATTGTGTATTTCACCCCTCAAAAGGACCACATTTACAGCATTTTGGACAATTGAGGGGTGACATTTACAATCTCAGAAATACAGGTCTAAGATTTTAATTTCGTGGATAACTGAGGGACCATATATGCGATTTTCCCTTGAGCATATGTTAAATATTAGTCAAATATCACTCTAAAATAATTTTTCTTATATCCGTGTTTTTATGTTGTAAATGCATGCTATGACTTAATATGTGTTTTTAGAATTTAAATTTAATGGATCAATGCATTTTTAGATGGTGCACAATATACTAAAGTGAATTAATTTTATGATGATTAATAAATATAAATCTATTTCAAAACTTTTGAAATAAACACTAACACACACATATTAGAAATTATACTTATAATGTGTGAAATAAGTTGATAATTGTATATATCAAAGTCAAACAACTCTAATTTTATTGTTCAAATCGAATACATAATTATCTGTATTGTGTTTGAAAGACATTTGAACCAAAAATTGATTTGTATTCGTATTTATATTCTTATTTATTACAAATGGGCTTGGAATCTATATGCAAAAGTGTATATATGGGCTACACTTTGATATTATAGTGTTGTTACTATTTTTATTAATATTTATATTAATATTACTATTATTATTAATCGAATATATTTGATTAATATTCGAATCAAATACACTGATATTCTTATTTGTATTTGATAACAACTCGAATCAAATTTAATATTATTATTTGTATTTGTATTTGAATTTTCCGAATTCGAATCGTCTTATACGAATTCGAATCACGAATCGAGCACAAATTATTTGATTCGTTTACAACCCTATGTTGAACGGGCTGCATGATGCTCTGTACGACGTGTATAGTAAATTAGCTACGGCTAAGGAGCTATGGAATGCTTTGGACCACAAATATAAGAGCGAGGATGCCGATGCAAAGAAATTTGTTGTCGGTCGATTCCTTGATTTTAAAATGGTGGATTCGAAGACGGTCTTGAGTCAAGTTGAAGAAATGCAAATGATCTTCAACGAAATTCGAGATGAAGGAATGACGGTTAGCGAGTCTTTCCAAGTGGCGTCATTATACACTTTTATTCGACCTGCACACACGAATGCCGTCCGAAAATCTATCTTCTAAAGATAACGTTAATTTTTGTTCTTCCGGTACGTTCCTACTTTAATTTTTGCTCCATGCACATAAATGCCCAACGTCTATATGCTGTCATTGATGTCCCAACGTTCATATGAACGTTTTGGGTTGTTTAAGGACTGGAATCAATGTCCAACGTTTAGGACATTGATGTCCAACGATCATAACCCTTAAACAGCTATTAACACACCTTAATCCACTCCTATAAAAGGCTAGTAGGTGCTTTGAAAAGGCACAACCTTTCATACACTTCGTTCACGTATTTTCATAGCTAAAACAGCACCTCTAGCACTCCATACAAACTCCTTCGGTGTTCTGCTTTTGTTCACGTTCGTTGGAACTTTAGTTTGAGTGCTAAACTATTGTTCGAAATCATCGTATTCTGGGAAACGATCGTTGTAACGCTCCTAGCACTCCATCTCATTTCTTGTTTTTCTTTAAGTCATTTTATTTAATTAATCTTTATTAATTATTTTTTTTTTGTTTTTCGAAACACACCCAACACCTGTAACTTTAGTCACATACTTGCAAATTTGGTTTTGCAACTAATAATTTTTTGCAAAAGCTAGAATATTAGAAAATAAATCTCCAATGCTAAAATGTGCACAGTGCAAATGTGACATGAGAGATAGCCACATAAATATTAGAAAATAAATTATATCTCTCCTTATTTGAATGATTTTATACAATTTTGGTAAGTTTTTTCTCTGCAATGTCAACCACAATTCAACACCTAGACGGTTTTCTTGACATTGTGGAGAAAAACATACCAGAATTGTATAAAATCATTCAAATAAAGAGAGATATAATGTATTTGCTAATATTTATGTGGTCACCTCTCATGTCACATGTGCACCGTGCACACCCTCTCATGTCACATGTGCACCGTGCACATCGTAACATTAGAGATGCTCTAATGATACGGAAAGAGTACACCAATAACATTGAAATAACATTTAGAGTTTTTCAATTTTCTAATTTTGTAAGTCAAAATTATATTCTTATTTAAGAGTTTTCACAATTTTATTCTTATTTAAAAGTTTTCACAATTTTTCAATTTTGCAAAGCTCTCTTATCAATAATTAATTCGATTTTTAATAATTAACATTTACACATTTATATTTTATATTAAAATCTTTATAAAGTTGTAAAATTCAAATTAGAATATCATAAAAAATTAATATCTGAATTAATGAATAAATGAAGCTATTTAAAAAAACAAATTGATTTTGCAAATTGATTTTGAAATCTGTTTATGGAAAAAATCCCAGGAATAAATGCGCCATAAACGACCTAAAATTTTTGGTAAGTGAAATTCAAATGAGAAAAGACTTCCTAATTTGTTTGCATTCTTGAACCATACGACTACTCGACTCTCCTAATCCCTGTAGGATTTCAAGATTGGATGTTTTTGCCCCTATAAATACGTCAAGTATGATGCTTCTTTTCTGTCATCATCCCGAACTTATGCAAAGGCCAGAAATGCCCGCAGACTACATATTCCGGCCGTCGGACGCTGAGCTAATGGGTTACCTTGCCTTATTCGTCGCCGGAAAACCAGTGAATTCAGAGATTCCGATATCGGAGAAGGATCTATACAGCGCGATAGAGCCATGGCAGATTTTCGAGAACTCAGCCGAACGGATTTTGTACTTTTTCACGCCTTTGAACAAAAAGAGTCCCGGAAATTCGCGTTACATTCGGAGAATTGGAGACGGAAAAGGAACTTGGAAAGCTCAGGATAAGGGTAAACCCGTTTACAGATCCGATAGTTTTGACGGCCGAGAACAGAAAGTACTCATCGGATTCAAGAAAAGCTTGAGATACGAGAACAAAGAATTGCCGGAACACGACGGTCGATATCTAATGAAAGAATATTACTTTACGGAGAAGATAAGAACCGGTCTTAAGGTAAGCCAATACATTTTATTCTCTAAATCCTATTCTACTTTAGCATTAAAATTAAATATCCCGTTCAATTTCAAGTAAGGTACTCTGTTTTATGATGCCAGATTTTATGTAAGAAAGTTTTGATGAAATTGCCGGTTTTAATAGATGAGTATCGGCTAAGAGCATCCACAAGGGGACAATATGTAGTCTATTTAAAAGATGCCACATCATGAAATTACTTGGATTTACTTTAATTTCTTCATCATGATCGTCAGAAGAAACAGAAGATATCTAAAATAAATTAGGGAAAACTGTCAAATAGGTCCTCGAACTTTCATAAAAAAGTCAATTAAGTCCTTCAATAGAAGGTTCTGTCCGGCCATCGCGATTTGGGGCAGTTCCCGGTAGAATTTTTTGATGAAATTTTTTGAGAATCTTATTCACCAAGTCTAATTTACTCATACCAAATTTAAGCTAAAAATTCAATCGGGAACACATTCAAATTAATTCTTGAAGATAACTGCGCAGTTTTGTGTTCTCGAATTAATTTGAATGTGCTCCCGATTAAATTTTTAGCTGAAATTTGGTATGAGTAAACTATATACTTGATGAATAAGATGCTCAAAAAATTTCATCAAAAAATTCCACCGGGAACTGTCCCAAATCGCGACGACCGGACAGAGTCTCCTATAGAAGGACTTAATTGATTTTTTTATGAAAGTTCGAGGACCTATTTGACAGTTTTCCCAATAAATTATGGATTACAGAATTAGTGATCCACCTCCAATAAAAATAGATGACGGAAGAACCGATCGAATAAAATTATTTTAAATGAAGTGTTAAGATGAATTTAATTTCACATGGACATAAACTTAGTCTTGAGATTTTCTGCATTGGAAACTTTCTTTGTATGTCATTGTCTAGTGACTCCACTACATGTGATGTGGATTTGAAAGCCATGTAATTACTTGAGATTTGGCATAATTTATTTAGACTAGACATTGATCTATTGCGGATGCTCTAATAAGAGTAATGTTGTTTTTAATTAGACCGGCCCCTTAACTTTGGTTTCTCACACTAATTTTGAGAATGAGTTTTCAACGCAACAAATATCTATTTAAGAATGAACATTCAAGGGCGAGTGTTGTAAAATCATGAGAATGACAAGTGTTAATTGTTTATCTTTGTCATTAGGACACAAAACTAATTCTAGTCCTTCTAATAAGTTCACTCATCTAGTTTCCATCATTGTAATCATAGATAGACAAATGGCTAGGTCCAATACTGTTAGCAAAATGTGTAGAATAATGTAGGAATGATTCTAGATGATTTTGACTAGATGGGGTAGGGATTTTGACTCCTAAAGTCGTTGTACCGGCACTGCAATACCATTTTCCAGATGGGGCGTAGACCTCGTGGGACAGCTCCCCCGAGGTACCGGCAACTGCAGGTGGATTATAGTCGCCATTGACTATTTCACCAAATGGATAGAAGCTGAACCACTGGCCAGCACTACCGAGGCGCAGTGCAGGAGATTCGTACATAAGAATATCCTCACTCGTTTCGGTGTGCCGCAGCAGCTCATCACGGACAACAGTACTCAGTTCGAGGCCAAAAGCTTCCAGGACATGCTGGAAAGTTGGGGGATCAAGCACACCACAGCCTCCGACGCCTACCCACAGTGCAACGGACAGGTGGAAAATGCCAACTGCACCATCTTGACGGGCTTAAAAAAGAAGCTCACTGATGAAGGTGGAGGTTGGGTGGAAGAGCTCCATAATATTTTGTGGGCCTATAGAACAACTCCTCGTAGGGTAACGGGTGAGACTCCATTTTCACTCTGTTATGGTTTTGAGGCCAAAGCCCCCACGGAGATCACAATTCCGATCCCGCGGGTCCTGTCATACGACCCCGAGCAAAATGAGCAAAACATGCAGATTGACCTCAACTTCATTGATGAAAGGAGGGAGAACGCCTTCTTGAGGTCGGAGAACTACAGACGTCAGGTCAAGAGCTATTATGACACACGAGTCCGAGGTCGGGAGTTCCAAGTGGGGGACTACGTCCTCAGGCAACGAACATCCAGCCAACCCAATGAGGGAGGAAAGATGGCCAAAAAATTTGAAGGGCCCTACATCGTCAACGTTGTAGTCCGGCCCGGAACTTACAAGCTAAGCACCCCAAAAGGCAAGGAAGTTCCGAGATTATGGAACGTCCACCATCTGGTGAGGTACTACCAGTGACCCAGCGCTGTAAAGGAGACAATAAGCCCTCGCCAAACGGAAACTTTGCACAATCACGAGCATTGGAAATCCGGGGTCACTGATAGCAACCTCAGCCGTACACTGTAAGCGGTTCACGACTGCCATCGAAATCAATAAAGGAAGGGTTCAACCCAAAACTCTCCCTGGAAACATCTAATAAGCCTTCCAGTCCATACTCAACAATGACATAAGTCGGGGCAACACAAAAGTCCTCGCAAACACAGGCCCGACAGCCCAATCATTCTGAGGCCACTTCGTAAGACCTCGACGATAATAGCCCTAGCGGCTCCGAAATTCCGAGGTCACTTTATAATCCCTCAAAATGCACGCTCCTCAGCCGAGCTCCAAAGCCGAGGTGACTTTATAAATCCTCGCGAATCCAGGCTCTTCGGCCAGAACTCTAACAAGCCGAGGCGACTTTGTGAGCCCTCGCAAGTAAAGACTCTTCATTCTACAATCAATTCCCGAGGCCACTTTGTAAGCCCTCCAATATCCGGGAATAACAGCCTCAACGGCTCCCGATCTCCGAGGCCACTCTGTAAGCCCTCCAATATCCGGGAACAACAGCCTCAACGGCTCCCAATCTCCGAGGCCACTCTGTAAGCCCTCCACTATCTGGGAACAACAGCCTCAACGGCTCCCCGATCTCCGAGGCCGCTTTGTAAGCCCTCCACAAATAAACAGGGACAATAGCCCCACGCGGCTCCCAAGGAGAGAAGTCAAGGCATCCATATAAGCCCTTGTTCCTTCCTCACAAAACTAGCTGGGATAGTAGCCTAACGCGGCTCCCGAATATGGGACTGAGGCGATTTTATAAGTCCTCGCACCCCCCGAATTGTCATCTTCCCCTTTAGCATTGTAGGCGGGGGGAAGATAGAGGCGCAATGCCGAAGGCTGGGCTACTTGACGGCCCTGACCTTGGTCGAGCACCACTCGCTTCCGACCTCGCCGGGCTCTCGTACGAATCCCGCAGTGCTGACCTCTAGTCCATACCTCGCGGTCTGGAAGGTGGTCAGCTCCCTAAATTGAGGCGCAAACACCGAAGGCTGGACTACTTGACGGTCCTGACCTTGGTCGAGCACCTCTCGCTTCCGACCCCGCCGAGCTCTCGCACGAATCTCGCAACGCCGAGCTCTAGTTCATATCTCGTGGTCTGGAAGGAGGACAACTCCCTAAATTGATGGTGCAATGCCACAGTCTGGAATTAAAGTCCGACTGCTTGCACCTCTCGCTTCCGTCCACGCCGGGCTCTCGTGCGAATCCCGCATAGCCGAGCTCTAGTCTATATCTCGTGGTCTGGAAGGAGGTCACTATCAAAATCTCTGACGCAATGCCAAACAGCCTGGAATTAAAGTCCGGCTGCAGCACAACGCATCACTGCAGATCCTAGCCGAGCTCGCTTAAAGACATCGTATCTGGGTCATCACTGCCGGGCCCACTTCTCAAGCCCTGCAGACATCTTAAGACCTACTTTCCAGGTTCTTTTTACATATTATATTTGTTTGGGATATTTTACAAAATAAAATGCCTTTACAACAACGACTCACAACAAGTGAAGTAGCTGTCGCAACTTCGCTAAAACTTTCTTGTCACGGGCTGAACAAATGCACTTAATAGCATGAGCTCGGACCAGTTAATAGGGGAGGACTTCGAAAGATGAGGTTACCTCACATGTTCAACGCGCCTGTTGACCTTGCATTATAATTAAAAAGATAAAATAAAGCGAAGGTTTCAAACTATTTTCTTAAAGAAAAACTAGTCCCAAAGAGCTTTGTAAAACACATGGCACCGGACAAACGAAATCACAGACTGCAAGGAAAGAACACGGCCTGAAGCTCCAAAGTGAAGCCGAGGCCAAAAGCTGCAGTGAAAGCTCCAACAGTTAGCAATCAATGCTACTGACAAATGACACAGTGATGGACCCCTGAAAATCCATTACTGGACATGTATGCAACATGCAGAATGCGGCATGGACACCTAAAATCCATGCCTGCAAAAATAAGCAAAGGCAAGTATGCAAAGCAATAAACACAAATAGGACCAGCAATGCCTTACCCAAACGAGGCTAACAAATGCAACCTCTGCTGGGGGCAGCTACAGTAACTTGGCAAACGGATGCTAAGCTCAGAGCAAAAAGAGGACATTCCAGATAAAGATGGCCCATCCCCATTGGAAAATTCCTGCACAACACATAAGCAAATATGCAAAGCAATAAACACAAAAGGAAAAGTGCAGATAAAGGAATGTATCATATACACAACATGGTCATCAATAGATGTCCAAATGTTTACAACAAAGGCCTAATAGCCAGATATACGGAAAAGATTAAGGGGAAGGGGAATCTATTCCTTTCTCTTTCTCTTTTTCTTCTTCTCCTGCTCTACCTCCTCACCGGCCTCAGCTGGCTGTGCCGGAGCGGTCAAGGAGTACTGGATCTGCTGACTAGGCGCGATTCCCGGATGCCTCATCGGCCTAAGAAGTTGCTACTTCTTGTGATGGAAGCCAGGCAGGGTCACCCGAAGTTTATCATAAACATCCTTCTCCATCAAATACTTCCCATACTCCAGGGATGGCGTCAGTTGTCTTCCCAGGAACTCCGAGCCTTCTGAGGTCGCCAACCAGCTATTCATATGCTGGCCCATCACACTGTGTAGCCAAGCCACGGAATCAGGGGAGGGGGAATCACCAGAGCATGAGGCCTTGAACTCATCAACACCGGAAGCCTTTGCTTTTGCAAGCTCAGCAGCCTGAGCGGTC